CCCAAGCCTGCACAACTCTCGAACCAACCACCTTAATGTGAAGCACAGCTCCCCTAAACCCTAAACCCCTAAACCCTGAACCCTAAACCCCTAGACCCCTAAACCCCTAAACTCCTAAACTCCTAAACCCCTAAGCCCCTAAAGCCTAAGGGGGCCACTGGGGACCCGAGGCTACCTCCTCGACGAGGCGGCCGCTTCGTCCTTGAGCGAAGGTTACCTGAGCTGAGAGCGGAGACCATGAGAAATTGAGCCGGAAGGGTTTAGGGTTGAGGGTTTAGGGTTGAGGGTTGAGGGTTTAGGGATGTTTAGGGTTAAGGGTTTAGGGAGGAATGTTAGGGTCTCCGGGGGGTGTCTGTTTGGGTATGACTCGTCTGTGAGATGCTGTGATGGAGATCTTCTTCTCTTGTCGGACCCCACGATCAGAAGTCCTTCAAAGCTTCATCAAACTACATATAGATCCTGACTATGATTTAAGAGTGTATCCCTCAATGAAACTTAATGAAGGAATAGTGGAGTCTCTGAGAACCTTCTGGCACGAACGCTGCAAGGACAGCGTCTCTTACCTAACCCCCAAAAGTAGATGAAATACCGGCCCAACATCTACAACACAACGGCCATTTTTAAATAGTATTGTTGGGGTCCAGGTATGCTACAACAGCGGACTGCATATGGGCATCTTATCGACTTATCGAGGACCCGGACCCGACCCCTTGTCCCGGCACTTCAAGGCCCTGGTCCGCTGTGGCGCAAAGGGGAGCCGACCTCGCCCCCCACCCTAAACCCTAAACCCTGAACCCTAAACCCGCCCTAAACCCTAAAACCCTCAACCCTAAACCGTGAACGCAGTGCAGGCGAGCAGTGGTTTAAAAGGCTTCTCTTTCTCAGAAGTTCTCCAGTTCTCAGAAGTTTTCCGGTTTTCTCATGGGGTGACCAGGCCCCAGTGCCACTGGTGAACAGGGTGTGTAAGTGAAGAAGAAGAAGCCAGAGATGCCAGGCGTGGATATTGAGTAGTGAGTTATGTTGCAAAACTCCGAAACGCAAGAGGCGCAAATCGGTTTGAGAGAGCTAGAAAGCTTTTGAGGATGGACAGGCCTATGACAACTGTTCGTGTACTCTGCATTCACCCAAGACTTAGCAATCCCGCTTTCGTCTCTCTTGCGAAACAGGTTAAGAAGGCTCATCCAATCGGAAAATTGCAGAATGTCAAAACTACATATGCGTGAACTTACCCAAACAATATTTCTTCTTCGATCATGCAGAAGATTGATGCACGGACTAGCCTCAACTGGAGCAGTGAGGTAGAGGTGTGACGTGTGCCGCAGCCACAGCCCTGGCTCCGAGCCAGAGAGCTCATGGCTCCGTTGTTTGGCTTCATAGGCTCTCCGGCTTGAAGCCGGGGGGGGCCATTCCGCATCTCTGGCTCATGGCTCGTGCCGTGACCTTCGCCACGGTCCTTCTAGGAGCCTTGGCTTGATCTGCGAGTTTCCAAACGGATGTCGCAAACTCCCAAGCCACCCGCTAGCCCCAATGCTGCCCAAGGGCTGTGGATCACCGGCTGCGCCGTCCGCCCCTCGCGAGAAGAGGTGCAGCAGCTCCTGGAAACAGAGGCCGACGGCGGCCGCCAGCTTTCTTGAAAATAGGGTCATCTTGGTCTTCTGCACGAGCGCATCCGGTTTTCGGCTGTGTCTGCTCACTTAGAGGCTTCTCAGCCCTGATCCGCCGATCCGCCCCCTTGATCACAACGACGTCGAGCCTCCGAATAAATCCTAAAGTCCTAAAGCTGGAAATCTAACTGCTGCTCCGCAGGCAGCGCCTCCAGATGCCCGCCCCATTGCAGAGGCCTCTTTTGTCATAGATTTCCAGGGTCGCAGGTTTTGCAGTTGTTGGATAAGCTCGCTAGCTCGCGTTCTGATCTGTGGCGGCAGAGTTTGTTCTGAAAACTCCCGGGGTAGAGGATTCCATAAGGTCTGGGTATCGGACTTAGCAGCTGCAGTTATTTTGAGTGCACGGCTTACTGGCTGCCGAGGTGTTGCAGCCTGAGTGCACTCTAAACGGTACGCTTCCGCAGCCTTTCATTAGGCGAGTGCTCGTAGAACCTTTTCTGCTTCCCGGCTCTTCCAGTTATTCTAGTGCCTGCAGCGCATGCTCCAAGTTCGAGGCTCTCGCCACGACTGCAACTCAAAGCCCGTGCAAACAACTAGACATTGGTCCAAAAGGCCCTGCATTCTCGTTCGTGGGAGGCCTGATCCACGAACAGAAGCCCCAAGACCTGCAATACCAGTAGCAGCTAAAGCCCCAACAAGCATTGCGTCATTGCCCCTACATTCAACAGCCAGTGTAAACCCCAAACAAACCTTAGGGCTATCTTGACTGGTCCAGGCGGGTGCGGCTTTTCTGGAACGCGAATCAGTCGCTCGTCTGCATTGCTTGCGGTTTCGTGTTCAGAGTTCACGAGTGCTACAGAAATAGCTAGCATGCCGTGGGAAGCCACAACGCCATGTAGTTTTCAGCGCCACCGGAAATCAAGGAGAAGTGGAGCCGTTCCGACTTGTCATTTCGACACTTCCCCAACCGTGTGTAGCATTCGCCACAAGCCTCAAGAGCAAGCAGCTTTGCATGTCTTTACTACCCATGTTGAACTCCAAACCTCTTCATGCCAGCGATTTGGAGCCCTGCCCTTCTTTCCAGCTGCTGTGCATCCCAGGCCGAAGACTCTCACTGCGATGGACTTCCGCGCAACGGCAGCCATGTCGCTGGGTTGTGCTTGAGTGGGTTTCAGCTTTGGACGGCAACTCGACGGTTGCAGTATCATTTTGGTAATGCTGGAAGTTGCAACAGCCAACCTTGCATGCTCTGTCTTCCAACACGCGTTCAGGTTATTGACACGGCACGTGTCTTCAGCACCAATTGCACCTGGCACGGGCAGCCAGGGCTGCAGGCCGGGAACTTGCAAGCGACCGCGCCGCAGCCCCAAGCTCCACGATTCTCGACTCAGCTTCTGGTTTCGACGGGCGAAGCCGCAAACCTCAATCTCTCAAGCCGGCCAAGCGTCTACCTCCAGCCTCGTTTGCATCCCGAAGACCCCATGCCACCTCCTCCTTTCTCCCTCTGAGTTTGCTTGCGAGGTGACCCTCAGGGAGCCGCTGACCTTCCAAGGCACCCGTGACTTTCTACGGCCGGGTATTGGAATCCAGTCGTTGACCTTTTTTGGGTACTTCGAAACTTGAAAAAGTGAACGCTCGGAGAACGGGGGTGCTTGGGTCCAGCAGGGCAGAATTCCGATCTGACGCGCTGAGAACTGAGACAGTGACTGCATGGGACAGGCAGTTTGGTCTTGACGGGTGAGATACAGATCATGGGAGAGCAGGAGCTGGAAGGACCCTGCATCTCGGGCAGCAGGAAGAGTCGTCCAGCGTTGCCCAAGAGGAACGGGGCATCCGTTCGGTTTTACGGCCCTCATGAAGGTATCAATGTGAGCGGGAACATGATGGTGATTGCCGCGAACGCCAGCTTCGTTGGCTGCAGAAACAGAATCCAGGCTGGGATATAGATCTGGGTGGCATCCAAGAAATTTTAACCCACGAAGCCTTAACCTCAAACTTGCTAACTGCAAACACCCCTAAAGCCCTACCCCCTGTACACCCAAAGCTGTAAACCCCAGCGAGAGTCCTTGCTCTTGACCGTGGCATTGCCAGTATCCTCCGATAAATCACCAAGCGGCTCCAAAATAATGGAGCAACTTCGAATGGCAAATGGCAAAGCCCAAAGGTGCCTTGCCCGATTGTGTGCATCACCTTTTCCGGCCAGATTTTCCGTGGAAGACCTACGATAAATCGAGCACATTTTGTCATGCATACAACAGCATGGCACGCGTGTCACCATCAGCAACATCCTTATAATGTTTACAAGCCTGACGCCAATCGCCCTCACACACTCGAACAGACTTGCTCGTGGAACGACGCATTGTCGTTACTGTGATCTTCCGATTCCTTCCGTGTTCCCAGATAAGCTAGCAGGAGTTCTAACTTCGGAGGGCCCTTCCGTTTGAACGCAACTGTGGGAGCTGCTTTGCGGAGTTGACCTGCTCGTTGTGTCACGCAGGGTTCTCGACGTCTGCCAGGTGTGGGTTTCAGGTTTTCAGGCTCGGAACGGCCAGGCTGGAGAAGGAGGAGCTCTGTTCATCCAGCGAGACTTTGTCGTCAGCAACAGCAGCGTCAAGTTCGAGAACTGCAGCGCACGCAGAGGCCGATCCTGTCGACACTAAACCGGTCGACCTCGGTATCACAAACCAAGCCGGGGGTCTTATGTTCAGCTGCTTCGAGACTTCAGCTTGGTCTATGCATAATGTCTCGTCGTTGTGTCCTAAGTCGTGAGCATTCTGGTCGCGACCCCGCGACCATGTCTCTTTGAAGGGGTCACAGAGGCCCTTGAGAGACCTGAGCGGCAAAGGCAATACTTGAAGGATCGTGTTGTTTAG